GAAAGTTACAGTTTGTGATTCTCCCTCGATATTACAACAAAAAGTCCGACATCAGCCCAGCCTGTGTGAATACAGTGTTAGCCACATTAGCTGTTAATACCAGCAGGCCAACCTACACAACAAACAGTAAAACAGCATTAAAGAGAGAAAAACTTACAGCTTCCAAGAGTGAAGTTGGGTGACAGATGGTCCGTATCGGTCCATGAGCTGGTACTCCTTTGAGAAAGTAGTTACAGTCCTTGTGAGAACATTTCATTAATAAATAAATAATCCAAAATAAAGTATGAATCTTCCTCTGATGATGGGAGGACACGCAGTCTTCTGTGCTGGTCCGTGCAGCGAACATCTGGGCAGCTGTGGCACTTAGCTCCAGGCTTTCAGGGACAGCCAGGGTTCGCAGGCCGAACATGGAGACAGCAGCAAAGGCATCTCTCTCAGTGGAGGTGGTGCTCTGCTAATGACTCCATCTGTTACGTAACAAGAGGAGCAAAATCGGTTTTTGCACAGTTTCTGTGTTGGTAGGCCAAATACCTAAATATGTGTGTACAAACATTAGAAAAGTGCATTTTGCATAATATGTCCGCTTTAAACAATTGTGCAGAATACATTGTATTGCATCAAATTGTATCACATCAAATCTCACCAGATTGTTCCATATTAAAATGCATCAGCCCTGAATAACGTATTATTGCCTGTGTATCTAGATACGCATGTGATCATCGTAGAAGGGAGAAATGCACATTAGGTAAGTTAAATATCTAACAGATAACAGATATTATTCTATATTATAATGGGATGTTTTCAGGAATAAACAAGTAGAGTTATATATGTATAAAGATGCAAATTAGCATTTAGCTAGAGTTAGCATTTAATAATGTAGATGATGTAATTTCCTACATTTTTGTTTTTTATATATTATGTATGTTTGTAAGTAAAATACTTTATTGTAATTTTTTAATAACATTTTATATAACTGTTTATCTTTTTGGGTGTGAATATAAAAGTGTTTTTTATTTTACATGTTTGTTGTGAAAATATATGGAAAATATATGAATGTCTGATGCTCTATGTCCAGAGTCCGTACAGAATAAATTTGAAAATCAATACTGACAAAAATATTTCACTTTCACTCTTCCTTTAATCTTCGTTACTTCACATATAGCAAACCATTTGGCTCATTAATGCATTATTCATAAACAGAGACACACTTTGTTTCAAAACTTTCTTTATTTGTGCATTTTCTGTGACAGCTCTGTATTGTTGGATTTTTCTTGTAAATGCATTTGTCCTGACATGCTGCAGTTTATCTGCACAACATATTTAAGTTTCAGGATTCAGTAGCTGTTGCATCGAAACACTAGTACGTGACCATAGTTCTCTGTGGGTGAGCTGCCTTTCCTACAATAGACCCACAGCGTCTTTTCACACAGCTGTAGAGACGCTGTGGTTATTTTGTAGTTCTTGGGGTTTAAGAGTCACATTTAAAAAAAGAACGAAAGAGCAAATATAAATACGATGATAGAGAGACTGTGTGGTTTAAAAACACTTGAAATATCTTGACCTGCATTCACCCTTTTCTCATGATATACAGTGTCTACAACACATTATAGATCTACTCATACGCCTTACAAAAGACATTGACACACTCACTCAGACAACTAAGAAATGTAGTAATCCACACATACATATGAGCCAACCAAGAAATAATGTAAAGAAGTAACTATCTTTAAAAAACGAGAGTTATACAACTTTAAAATTAATTAAAAGCAGCATTGCATAGAAAGGTTACAACTGAAATTAATCAACATTTTCACAGTCACTGAGTTGAATTACTGTGTGTTCGTGTTGAAGAAATAGAGGAAATGATCACCTTATCAACCTGCAGGACTACAAATGTTATGATCATAAGAATAACCAATTGGTCAGTCTGTAAAACAATGACAAAACAAAACTTTGTGATATTATCTATGCATATATATCCATTACAGCACATCAAATCATAGAAAACAATAAAATCATCTGCCATTTTATGCACATGACACCCACATTTACCCAACACTGTCTCTCTGTGCTCTATATATAGCTTTTGGCACATATTTAACAAATGATCATGTTCCAGAAATTGCTGTTGGAAGTTGATGGTCATTCATTTTTTACCTTCATTTTTCATAGTGACGTTTTCTCAACACCAACAGCAGCAGAGCCACCCATGAAACTGTGACAACAGTCCTTATCAGCAGGTAGAGGAGAACAGGAAGTTGGTCGGAACAAAGGGGGATAGTCTCTTTGTGATATTCTGAAACAACATTACTGGTGTTAGAGCATACAACTATCCAATGAATAAAATATACAAAGTGTTATATATTGTTAGGACCTATATTAGAATTTTTCTGAGTCAGCTACGGTTGGCAACAGCTAATTAAATCTGCTAATGTTGAAATGTCATCTAACTTTGACAGCTTATGTGACACATATGTGCTGATTCAATTATTTGTGTTGGTATCTAACCTGTGACAGACAGCCAGCTCTCTGCTGATTCTCCAGCTCCGGAGATTCTGCACTTGTAGAGTCCTTCATCAGACTTTGAGACACTTTGGATGATCAAATTTCCTGTAGAGACCTTCTTGATGAAGAGGTCATTCTTATAGAAGGAAGCGGAGATGTTGGAAGCTGTCTTGTTTCTGCACTGCAAAGTCACAGCTTCTCCCTCCATCACAATGACAGGAGCATCCAAGATTACAGAACCAGCTAAACAACATACAATATTATTATTATTGTGAATGACGTTACTATGATACAGCTGTATACAACTAAAATCGATGATCACTAATTGTGTGATTGCTCCAAGAGGTCCATTTCGGACCGCACATAGACACAAGATTTTCACACATTAGCTCATTAGTGTCATTGTGGCCTTTACTTTTCTTTTTGATATCTGTTACAGTGATTGAGATATCAATATTTCACTGTATTATTTATTTTTGGAAGGCTCGTCAATGGGAGTTGCATATATGGATCAAATCTCAAATACTGTATATACCAAATTAATCAAACTTGCTACACAGGTGCCCCATAGAGATGTGCTAAACATATTAAGGATGCATTCAATAATGCCAACATGTGGTAGGTTTTGGTAAAGACATTTTTTTATTCTTCATGCACATATTTTATCTAATCTTCACCAGAATCGGTGCCTGGTATATTTAGGTGAAGCCGAACATGTTTTTCAAATTTCATACAGTTCGACCGACAATAGCTATAGCTACAGCTAATAGAACATGCATGCTCTCAAGCGGCTTGGCTGGAGAAAGCTTTATAGGGCCAAATATGCAGAAGCTTGAGTCCTAATAACTCATAATACACTTTTGAAAGTATGTCAATAAATAATACAAAAGTGTATATGAATGTTAGTGTAAACCTACCTGTAACAGTGATGTTGACAGTGTGGCTTTTCTTACCGTCTCCAGTCTTACACCAGTATTCTCCACTGTCGTCAACATAAACACTTTTGAGGATGCAGTGAGACCCATTTGAAAATCCCCAGTTTGTACCACATGGGGTACTTTCACTTGGGAGCTTCCTCATCACTCCCAATCCAAGAGACCCATCCAACCCCTCACAGTTAAAAGAGATGGACTCATATTCGAAGTACTGAAGTCTGGCTGGGATGAGATGAGGAAGAGCTGTGTCTGACACGAACAAGATGGCGTGTTAATACATTCATCTGATTTGCATGGATGTGATCTAAGTTCATGCATCATACATAGGCGAAGGAAGCCAAAGCATTTGAATGCACAAGTCGCACAAATCTTTTTTCAATGTTTCTTCTTTCTTTTTAATCTCTCTTACGCTTGAATAATGAGGATTTGGAAGTAAACAAAAAGTAACTGTAAAATGTTACGTGTAAATGTAGCTTCTGTCTTTAATGATGCAAAAGAATAAGGTTTAAAGATACTGACGAAACTTATACTCACAAGCTTTCTGAGCGTAACAACTGTCCTGAACTTGCGTCAACAGCAACAACCAAATAATTATCACTGTAGACACAGAGGAAGTGAATAGGACATTAGACATACTGTATATGTAAAAACATATTTGCTTGCTAAAAATTTAAAATATAAAGACAAATACAAATAACCTTTTCCTAATTTCGGCAGCAGCTTTTGGTTTAAAAAATCAGAATAACAATTTAATGAAAAAAGATAAATTAAAGTCACGTAATTCTTCATTTGTACAGTCTTGATCTGCAGTTTATCCTGAGAATCCTAAGGACAGCACAATGTGAGACAGTCTCAGTACTCACACAGTCTGATGCAGAGAGCTGTGACCTCCATGTCCTCTTGCTGGTGAGCGTGTGATCGTCAGACAGATTACAGCTGACTGTATGTGTCTTTGAAGCTCAACTTCCTGTGTGGCTTATGTCAGCAGAGGCATCAGTATGCTCCTCCTAAGGTCGTGTCACAGAGGGACCCTGTGCTAATATCTGATGCTATCTGATCTTACAGCTCTGTAAAACCCAAACTTTATATATATATGTATATATAAAGCTTATTCTTCCATGTCCATTTCCTGTTATCTTATTGTTTGATTGGTAAAGATCAGGGAAACTCTCTCTCTCTCTCTCCCCCCTCTTTCGCCCTCTCTCTCTCACAGACAGACACAGTCACAATTTAGGAACAAAAGTTGTCCTACTCTGCCCTCTGCAGGAAATTAACTATCATCACTTCTTATTACTGCAAATGAATTTAAAATTAAATAATTAACAGTAAATCTACGTATTTAAGATAGTACATTACATGCAGTCACTTTATCTTTTTATTCTGGTCTATTCTAGTTATTTTTGTCAAATATAATTTTATCAATCACAGCAATAAAGCGAACTGTTTTCTGGAATAAGAATAAAGCACACTCATTTTAAAATTACTCATAATTTTGTTCATTTTATTGTGTTCTACTGCTCATGACAAATCTAACATATTCTACCATTAAGCACATTAATCAATATTATATTAAATAAGAAGAAAAGTTTAACTGGAAAGGTCAATTCAATTTAAAAGTGAGATTTACTTAAAACTTTACAGCCTGCTCAGGCCTTTTCACAAAACAATACATGCATTCATTAATTTTTGAATCAACACAATTTTTACTTCAAAAATAAACAATTCTGTGTTTTCCAACACTTCATCTGATAAGTTAAAAAAACATCAGAAAAAAACCTCCTCTCTCCTTTAGTTGGTTGTCAGTACTCTCCATTACCCCAGGATATACAAACATTAAATCTGCAAAAAACATGCTTGTGCTGATTGGTTGACCAAAAATTATTTTAGGTTTAACTACAAAAAGTAAAATGTTCTGCTCCAAAAAAATATAGGGCAAAGAGACTGTAGACCAGATTGAAGTTTTGCCTAATTGAATGTATAATAAAAGCGATCATCTTCGTTTAAAAGCTGGTTGATACTCGCAGAGGGAACTGGTGTCGCAGCAGAGCTAGATTCCCCTGGTCCTATTATTAAAACAAATGAAATTATTTCAGTCAGATGGATGGATTGTTAATTGGAATTTATCTTAAAATAGTGTTTGAATCTAAAACAATATATGTTCCATAAAAACAACCTAATATTACATTTTCATACTGGATTTGATTGGTTATTGAGTCTTACCAATGCTTAAAGTATAGTAAGCAGGCTTGGTCAAGGATTCAGCCTTATCTGATGGACAGAGACAGTGTGAGTTATGGAAAGGCTGAGACGGATGGCAAATGTATTGAACATTAAAATATTAGGCTGGTGTACCTATTGACCAGTTGTAGTTATAACCGCAGGGTTAAATTATTGCCCTATTTCAAGCGTTGTTATACAGATGATACAATATTTGTGTTAACACTTGTACAAATGTCAATTAATTTAGGATTTTTTATTAGTGTCATTTTAGTGGATCATTTGATCTGCAAAATCTTTAAGAAATGTTTGTATCTGTTTTTCGATTTTATCTGATTAAGGTGTTATCTGTAGCATTTTTGGTTTTTTAGTGTCAAGTTAATTACCTTTTTCCTCCCTGGGTTTTGTGACGACAGCATATGTTGCCAGTTGTTGACCACCTACACTGGCCTCTGCAGACAATTAAATAATACAAAATATTGTGTCTTATTAATAAAAGCACTTACTTTCTACTTTGCTACATAGTGGGCATACTTTCTCTGTTGTCACTGAACATTGATAATGGATGTAAACTGAGAGGTATGTAATGTAATTCTTAGTGATACATGGCTGTTTTCTTACAACTAAAAAGAAAAATGTTTAATATAAAGACAGGATAACTTCATTGGCTTGGTAGATGAATAGTTTTTTTGGTGAAGAGTCCATCCTACTCTGTCAGATAATTTCTATAAAGAGACCATCATATTGTATGCACCATGGTAGGTGTTCCTTACCTGTTTGTAGAGGAGAGGACATTGGAAAAGAGGGATGAGAGGTTGTGGAACCTGCCCAAATTAAGGAAATAGCAAAATAAAGAGTGTTAACAGGGTGACAGTTAAGGCTTTTGATTCTGTGGACCATCGCATTTTGCCTCGCAGACTCAGAGACATTGCAATCACTGAGGATACGCAATACTAATTACTGTAACTTGTACTCTCTAGTCAACGAGTCATCACTCCATACCAGGTGTCAGATCCACGGGTGCAGTTCATTTATAAAACATCATTAGCAAAACCCCTCCATATCTCCGTTCTCTACTCAGCATTTCCACAACAATTGATGTTCTAGCAAATCCATTACTTTTGACACCCCTAAAGTCCCTATCACCTTTGGCTGTCCCTCTTTTTAGTCCGCCGCTCCCAGTGACAGGAACCAGTTGCAAAAGTTGCTAAAACTGCACACCCTTATTCGATTATCCTCCTTTAATAAATCAGTACATGCATTAGTTTCTGATCCCTGCACTGCGCTGTATATATTGTGTTCTTTTAACTCCATTTACCTATATTATCTCTTCATTAGCTGTATATATGTTTTACTTGTAAATTATAATTGATTCTTAATTGACTTATCTATACAGCCCATCAAGTACCACCATGTCAACGATAATGCTCTTTGGGACTAATTCTACAACAAAGAGATGAATGCAAAAATGTACATATTATGAGATTTTAACAAAACTGCTTAGCACCCGACTTAAAACGTTGTTTAAACAACAATTTTATCATCTATGTATTTTTGTCTTATTTTGTACCTCTTTGCTTCATATAGTGTAGCCCCACCACCAACAGCAGGAGCAGAGCCACAAGTAAAATAGTGATAACCGTGCAAAGCAGGATAAAAACACGAGGTGAGCGACTTTGAGAAGTCTCTTCTTGGTATGCTGGAAAAAAACAAAACAACAATATTAAGCATGTACTGTAACACGGGACAATATTCACTATTAACACACTGATGTTTTTCAGGAATGACCATGTCCACCATCTTATGAACATGCTAACATTTGCAGATTTCACAGGATATATGAAAGCTCTGAGCAGTATTCATCATCTGGGTAGCTGCATTAAATTCCATGGCACTTAGTTATGAAGATATTTCAGTCTGGATCAAAGTGGTGGACCAAACAAATGACACACCAACACTGCTAACCCTATGCTGCTAGCATGGCTAAAAAAAAAAAGATTCTGTAACATCCCATGCCATGTATTTTTATGGGAAATGTTTCCTTTCTGCTCACAGATGAATCATTATTAAGTCTTCACATTACAGAAAGTGGTTAGATATCTCTTATGTTTGACATCCAGCCAGCTCACTGCTGATTCTCCAACTCCGGAGGTACATTTGTACAGTCCTTCATCAGACTTTGAGACACTGTGGATGATCATCTCTCCCGTAGAGCTGTTCCTGATGAGGAGGCCATCTTTATAGAAGACAGCTGGGAAGTTGGAAGTCATCTTGTTTCTACAGCGCAGAGTCACACGATCTCCTTCCATCACAGGAAGAGCCGGAATCTCCAGGATCACAGACTCTGATCATCAACCATGGTATGTTACTGTTATTTAATTTTAATTGTTGCTGTGTGAATGTACCTTTGGGGCCATATTGTTAATTATATGTGTACAGAATTTTATGCATGTTTTTTCCTCTTCTAAGATTGTCTGTATGGTATGGACCTGAGAAGTTTGCAGATGCAGTTTAGACATGATTTAAAGTCTGACTTTAAGTACTTCCAGTAATTTTTTACCAATTCTGAATGATTCAGACTGCTCAAGTGTGCCCTTTCAACACATTCTAATTGAATGATATGATTGATAAAAAATTGTCACTAAATTATGAGGACGTCTCACAGTCCCTGTGGTTTGCAAGGAGCTATAACTATGTCAGAGGAAAGAGAAATCATATATTTTGTATTGAGTCATAGTCAATTCTCACCTCTGACAGCCAACCAGCTCTCTGCTGATTCTCCAATGCCAGAGATTCTGCACTTGTAGAGTCCTTCATCAGACTTGGAAACATTGTGGATGGTCATCTCTACCGTAGAGCTTCTCCACATGAGGACGCCATTTTTATAGAAATCAGCTTCAATTCTGAAGGTCTTCTTGTTTTTACAGCGCAGAACCACATTGTCTCCTTCCATCACAGGAAGAGCAGGACTGTCCAGGATCACAGATCCTTCTAAAAGAAGAGAGAATATTTTAGAATTTTACACTTTTTATTTCATTACACTTAACATTTAGTAAACATTATACAATTCACAAATTCCTCTCTTTTAGGCATTTGAAAAAAAAATAAACTTCAATATTCTTTAAATTACAACATTAGAAGTACTATTTCCAGCACACTATCTCTGGGAATTACATTCAAATTGCATATCACACGTCCTATGGTAACTTTCAGTGGCTGAAGAAGAATTAGTGTCACTGTATTTAATGAGGTAGAAAGTGTCAGAATTTTGAAAACGCTGGCAGTGTATGCAAAGAAAAAAACAGATTTTCAGAGAAGACCAGTATCAACATTCTTGTCTGGAGATAGGGTTGCTATTTTATTATATAAGTCCTTTAGCAAAATATCTAAGTGTTTATATGTGGAGCAGCATTTCTCATTAAATCCAAATCAAGGATAAATTCTGGTCAATACGTATGAACTAACAATAAACATACTGTATTTCAGCTATAGTTCTGATTACAGTTTGAAATGTTTCAAAGTGGCCATGTGTTGAACATACCTGTCACTATGATGTTGACCTTGTTGCTCTTCTTTCCGTCAACCTCACACCAGTATTCTCCACTGTCTATTGAAAAGGCAGCTGTAATGTTGTAGGTTCCTCTCATCTCACATTTATCTTTACATGTAGTATTGGTTCCCTGAATATTCCTCATCACTCTCCATTTGGTCAAATCATGAAAAAAGCCCTTACAGTTTACAGAGAAAGACTCGTACTCAAAGAATTGAAGTCTGGATGGAACGATACGAGGAAAAGTTGCTTCTAAGAAAGAAAAAAAGAGAGATGTAAAAATTTAAATCGGTTATTCTATTAATCAAGTTTAAAAAAGTCGATCTATTGTTCCTGTACTTTGTAAGAGATAGAATGTCCTCTTGTCTCCATATACTTGTAACAACTTGAAAACTTTTCCTAAATTAATTTCTGCAATTGCATAAATGTATTATTATGAGAAATGAGTTTTATATCTTTAAGTGTATAAACAGATTGAAAAACTAAATTTTATTTAAAGTATAAACTGGATATGCGATGTTCTAAAAGTGTTTGACTTACCAGCTCTGTGAGAGAAGCTGTGCTGAACCTGTGCAGGCAGCAACACCGCTACATTTATCACTGGAGAGACGAGAAAAATCATCAGACACTGAAGTTTCTCTTCCATTTCTTTAGATTAATGTCTTCTGGCTAAAAGAAATTCCCATACAAGATTATTATAGGGACACTTAAGTATATTTCCCATTCCTGTCAAGATGCAGGTATCTAATAGACTCAATATTCACACAGTCTGACGGAGAGAGCCGTGACTTCCATGGTGTCTTGCTACTGACTTTCTCAGCATGAGACTGACTTAAGGTTTAAATACAGCACAATGTATGTGAACACTTTCTCTTCCTGTGCAGCCTATTTCTGGTGACTGAGGCAAAGGCCTTGAGTTTGTCTGCAAGACGGAGCTGTTCTGAGAAAAACAACAGCGCTAAAAAAATCTAGCCTACCTGAACCGAAGCTTGTTTAAAATTAACCCTCACTTGCATCTTCTGCATTTAGATCTCTGTTGACAACCGCATGTGCAGCCCAAACTGTATAACTGTGCCCAGTGTATCACTGTACTTTGGCCCTTAAGAGCTATAGCTTACAAGCTATTCTAATTTAAGCTAAAACTGAATTTGATGTCAACTGAAATTGATATCAGATTTAGCACAGATGAGCTAAGGTGACCTAATATTGTTCCCAGTAAATCTCCACCCAACTCTGACCTGAGCCTTGCTGGGTCTTTAAGCAACAGTAACTCTGACTGGATGGATTTCAAAAATTAAAAACAACAACCAAAACATAAAAAAAAAAAATACAACATGTAGATATGAGGTTATTTTAATGTAAAAACATGCAAAACAAAATATATATGTTTTTTTATAAGCTACTATCAACTGCTGAAGAATATATTTGCAGATGACCACAGACCACATTCTAAAGTCTGCAGCAGCTCTTCTTGTAAATGGCGCCTTCAGGCGTAAGAACAGGCAGAGCAGATAGACCAAAGTCTTAAAAATAGACCCTGATGCTGTGAGATGGCTGACAACCTAAGACGAATGCTGATGATAGTTGTACTGATGATGATGTGAACCACTTTCTTCCATTTTCAAGTATTTGAGTTTTTTAATTTTTGTGTTTAGCCATTTTACAGGTAGTTTAAACTCTTAAATTCCATTCAGGACAGAATTATATTAACAGCAGCAGCCACAGCAGCAATAACAGCATATTATATCATCCAAGAAAATTGTGTGCTGCAATCAGAAGACTGCCATATGAGCGTAGCAGTGGACTAGGACCTGAGTTAGCTCAGACTGGGATTAAATAAATGACCACCCCTATGTGTGCATGACTTCTTCCCCCTGTACACATGCTACAGGAGACCTTCAACCAGAACCTTTCCTTCAGCTTTCAGACAGGTGACTCTGCTGTCTGTGACCTGGAAGACACACAGTGTGACAATATCTGTTAAAATGGGTCAGTCAAAATAGGTATTCACCAATAAGAAAAGAAACCAAACCGAATACAAAAAATACATTTGTCTTTACTGTAAAAACATCTATTTCAGGAAATTCCTCCAGTTGAAGTTAACTTTTTAGTCACGATATGAATACCACATGTGGTTAGACTGAGGCAACAAAAGCCTTTTGGTTAACGTTAGGGTTCATGGTTAGCGTATAACTTATTTGAAAGTCCCAGATAAAGTGGCAAGTGGACTTTGAGTTAACATGATTTGATATCCACTTGATATTTATAAGTTCCACAGAGACAACCAGTGTTTTTCCTTACCGGTTCATTGAGAAGCGAAAGCATGGAAGGAAGGTATCGAAGAGGTTGAAGTCCCTGGTAGAATTAAAGAAACATCAAAATAAAATAAATGTACATGACGGTGATTGACCAGCAAACATCACAACAGTAATCCTTGATTTGTGTGTTTCAAGCTAATATTGTCAACACATATTACATTAAAGAGTTTGCATTAACATTCAATCATTTATTTCTGTACCTCTCTTTTTTACAATGAAGAAGTACCATCGCCAGCCCCAGAGCAAACAATAAAATGGTACCAAAAATCCGCAGCACAATGAAGCCATGAGGGGAGCAGTCGTGGGAAGGGTGACTGTCTTCATGAAGTGATCCAAATACTGCGATTTTACAATAATTACACAAGTATTTAAAGTATTAAAAAAGGGGGGCAATAGACAAATTGTTTGTTTCCATCCACCTGTATGTATGCACATTACATAAATTAAACATTTGATCATTCTGGGAAAACAATAGACATCACTTTTTAAAAACATTTTTAATTTCTGCATAAAAAGAGAATGAAGAATAAAATTGAAAAAATGGAGCGAAGCCTGCGAGCTAGTTCAGGCAGTCAACTCGAGCTGCGCTGATTACACACATGACTTTCCTTATTCCATAATCACTAACCAAGCCTCCCTTCCAATCTGGCGGTCTATTTAAACTGCACAATTTCCCAGCTCTCCCTCTGCTCTGTCAATGCCGCTGTTGCCCTGCATCCGTATTGCTGCTGCTGCTCTGTAAGCCCCACCACCACCCCAGCATCCACCTGTAGGCTCCGACTGGGGTTAAGGTATTTGTGCATCACTCCTCAAATATCTCTATAAACATATCAGCGGGGAGTGATGAGGTCGGAGCCTAGAAGCCAAAATCTAAATATGTTATACTGCTGTAATAAACATTTCAAACATGAGTTGGCTGACTGAACTGTAAATATTGCCATTATTTTTCCACTTGGCTGAATGTGGCAAAGTGCAATGGAAAGGACGTAGATTAAGCATGTGACTTAAACAAACTTAATAAACGATCAATGATCAATAAACCTGTCAGTGAAGAGACTCAAAATATTACATCACCAAATAGCACCTTTGGTTTGTTTTGAAAGACTGTTGCGTCTCACCTTTGACAGTCATCCAGCTCTCTGGTGATTCTCCAGCCCCAGAGATGTTACATTTGTAGAGTCCTTCATCGGACTTGGAAACACTGTGGATGGGTAACGCTCCTGTAACACTAGTCCTAATGTGAACACCGTCTTTGAAGAAGTCAGCTATGAGGTTGCCGGACGCCATCTTGTTTCTGCAGCTCAGATTCACAGCTTCTCCCTCCATTACGGGGAGGACAGGACTCTCCAGGATCACAGACCCAGCTGAAAAACATTAGTTTGAAAAACTCATTTTAGATATATGAATATTTTTATATTTTAAAAGCGCATATAATATTCTCTACAGATCAGGGGTGGATGCAACAAATGACATAAAATTACTGTGAAATTACTGTAAGAAAGTCAGAGTAAGTTAAGTTTATTCTACTTTGTGTTTTTCCATTAATTGTTATAAGTGTCTTTGAAATGTAAATATGAACTATACCAGTGACAGTGATGTTGACAGTGTTGCTTCTCTTTACGTCTTGATGTTCACACCAGTATTCTCCGCTGTCTATTGAAAAGGTGTTGGTGATTTCACAGGGTCCAGCCGATGTTGAAGCACATGTTAGGAAGACTTCCTTGATCTTCTTCATCACTCTCCACCCAGTCAACCCCTCCAGTCCCTCACAGCTGACAACAATGGACTCATATTGAAAGTGTTGCTGTCTGTTTGGAGCAACTTTGGGAAAAGCTGCTACTGAGAAAGAGAAACAACAAGCATTGTTTTATAACTGCTATAAGAAAATAACTCAACACAAATAAAGAGTTACCTGAACCAAAAGATAAGCAAAGGATAAAAGTTAACTGCAGAACCTCACTGACTAATGAATTACTAACTGAAGTACCTTTTCGTAAAGCCATGTGCTGTTTGAACAAGACTAAAAGTCTAACGCCACACTCTACAATAGGCATGAGCTCAGCACGCAAGTTTCAACTCAAGGAGCACTAGAATCTGATTTTGTGTTTAAATGGCTTTAAGATTGGAAGAGAAAAGTCAGATAAAGATTAGGATAAAAACGTATGAAAAATGTGTGAATTTCAGGCTGCTACTTACCAGTTTTCTGAGAATCACTCAGGTGAACATGTGCAACTAGCAGCAACAATGTGATCCCCACTACAGAGACAAAATAAGTTTTAGGCAGATGATTTTGTATGTATGTGTATAATCAATATTATAAACACATTATAATGTTGGTTTGGCATATTTGCTCCATCCAGTATCCAGTATAAGTGTGTCCATGAGGTTTTTCAAGTGAAAAGTTCAAATTCTGTCAATTGTGCAGTTTTCCTTTTGACAGTTGAACTTCTTTATTAAAGAAAGGAAATACAAAAAAAATACAAGAGCTTTGTTTTGATGTAATGAAACATTACAGTGTGTTGTTGACACCACAATATCTAAAGGCTGTTAAATGTCTTTATTTAGTTAATCTCAGAGACCGTACAGAATAACGCTGATAATCACACAGTTAAGCAGTGCGATAAACGTTATGTGTGATGTGGAGACTCACCCAGTCGGATGCAGAGAGCTCTGACCTCCATGTCGTCTTGCTGCTGACTGTATGATAATCAGTCTGAATAGCAGTTAAGTAGCATGACATTTTTTGTGACACTTTCAATTCCTGTGGGTGACACTTTATCTTCCTGTGTGGCTCATTTTCGGGGCCTGACAGTGGGTTGAACTTTCAGTTTAGTGTCAGGCAGAGCTCTGAGAACCACAGATTATAATTAAAGCAGTAGCTGCATGACTACAGCTATTTTTACAATAAAACGCAACGTCTTATAAGTAGACAATGATTAAAATGGTGGGTGAGGTGGTGGGGGATGAAATAAGGTCAGGGATGAAGGGATGAAAGGAGTTAAGGGATGGGATAAAATTGGGTTAAGCATGAAGGGATGAACACAGGATCAAGTAGGGAGTCATGAACCACACATGTTAGCTACGGTTGTGCATGCAGCTGGACCTGGTGAAGGTGTCCCCACCAAAGGAGCAGGTATGCAGGAAAACACCAGCTTGAAACATTGCGGCCTAACTTGTTAAAATTGTTTTAAATCTTCCTGCTCCCTGGTAAGGCCTGTAAAAAGTAAAAACTTTCCATCACTTACTTTACAGCAGGTAATAAGGCCAAAGTCCAGTTTCAGCTGCATCAACTTAGTTAATATTTAGCTCCTAAATAACAAAATGAAAGACAATCAACTGTGTAAACCATTTTATGATTAGAAAATAATCAAGAACTTCAAAACTTGTTTCTTTTGCCTTAAAGCTAGGGGTAACATTGGGGAAACTAGCAAAAGATAACTGGATAAAAAAATCCCAGTTTCTCTCCAAAGCCACTCCCCAACAAACAAGGAGACACATAGTGCCTGAGAGGAGCTCACCACATCGTTGCTATCGCTAACCAATATAACAATATATACCAATATAACAAAAAAGAGAGACGGATGGAAAGGTAAGATAAAGTCAAGAGAGATTACTGTGTGAGTGAAAGCTACGTGAGTCATTTTTTCTATGAGACTACGTGCAGCTTACTTTCTTCTGACTCGCTGACAAACTCAACAGGTAGGACTTTTACATTAAAGTTGTTTAAAAGCGTCTTTTTGTTGCAATTTAGAATTCATTCTAAACAATACCACTGTTTCTTTAATAAAATCATTTCGCTGTCACAGACTTTCACAGCTCAAATTGTATTAGTTGCTCATGACGAAGGTTGCATGAAAGCATTATAACTCACACAGATGAGTAACTAAATGAATGAATTAAATAGTTGATGAACATATGTAGAGAATTATAAAAGAAAGAAAAATTAAAAAATCCTCTTATCAAATAAAATCAATCTTCTACTTAAATGCTAGGGTAAATGGAGACCAAGCACAGCACCTTTGTTAGGCACTACCAATACCATAAAGCCATGAAGTATAGTTGCAGTACGGTTTGAAAACCACTAAATGCAGGGGATCCTTGAAAGCTAGGCACAATTGATAGAACGAGGTTCACAGTTGTTTTATTGTAATTTTCAGAATGCTAGGATGATTCACTTGAAGAAAGGACCATCCTTTGAACCTCAGATGAGTCTCTTCCATGTTTTGGTTGTGAATGTTGTTGTCCTTTTCATGACATCCTTTTGTACAGGTAAGTTGCACACAAACGTGATAACAAAGCCTTTCTGTGTGTTTAACCCTTTATTGGGCGAGGAACCATATATGGTCACTTCCTTATGATGGTTTTAATTACACTTCTATGGCATATTTTGGTGTTTTATTAGAGGTTATATACTAACATACACTTCACTGTTAAGGCTTTCTTTCACAAATTGCTGAAAGTGGGCTTGATCTTGATATTTGCTTATGCCTTATTAATTACATATTTTCATAGTATATTGATGTGGCATATTTCTTTGCAGCAGCTGTCTGCTCAGTCCTTCTATGGGAAGATGAGGCCTGCTTTACCACAGATTGTTGTTTGT